GGAAGATTTGCTTATATACTCGGAAACCTTCCAATGCGAGGGTACCAGCAATCCAGTTCGCCTTCGGCGCGGGGGGGGAGGAGGGGTGGAGAACAATTACTGAGTGACGCTAATATGGGGAAACTGAAAAGAAATGTCGATTGTTTTCATTGTAACAGAAGGAGTGAACAAACAGAAAAACCAACCCCGGGTGAACGGAAACAGGCAGGCGGGGAATTAAAAGCGGGTTTCAGGCGGCAACAGGCCCCTCCCCTGCCCTTGGAAGGAGTAAGCGAGTGAGGAGCGCTCTCAGCCCCGGGGGCCCATCCCACGGCCCGCAGCGGGATTTCCGCGCTCCGGCGGGACCCTGCATGCTGCGGTCCTCTGGGGGAAAGCGTCTTGAATCCTAAGCATCGTCTGCAGGAAGGCGGAGAGGCAGCAGGGAGGCTTTGGCGATTCTCGGAGAATCTTCTGGGCTCTTTCTGGGGGCCGCCTCCCCCATCCCCCAGCCTCCACTGGGGCTGGTACGTCCGGCGGCGTCCGCAGCCGGGCTAAGTCCCGGCCTGCAGGTCAGTGTGTGAGCACCCCTACACCCCAACCCCGGGGGCCTGGCTGGGGCTGAGGGCCCTGGCGGTCTGTCTCTCTCTCAACCCAAAGCTTTTCTCTTTAGCGCCCCCCCCCCCCCCAGCCCGCGGCTCGGCGCGCTGTTCCCGCTTGGCCCGCACTCAGGGTGGCCCTCCCTCGCCTGGGGCACAGGGTGCGCTTCCGGCTGCCACGTGCCGCAGCAGGCGCTGGGAGGTCGAGTAGGCGGAGGAGCGGCAGCTGAACCCGAGCGGCCGGGACAGAGCCGTGGCCAGATCGGGGTTGGAACCCGTGGCCCCGGTGTTAGCCGCGCAGTCTGGCGAGGACTGAAGTCTGGCCTCTTTTTCTCTACGCCGCGCTCAATCTTCCACTTACCCTGAAAGAGGCGCTCCCTTGGGAGAACCGGATTCGAGATCTTGTTTCTATCTCATTCCCTCCTCACAAGGCTGCAAGAAGTCACTGTGCTCCGAAAACCCGTCGCGGAGCTCAGACCCTTGCCTCCTCTCATTCCCTGGAGCTCCCTGGGCAGGGTGAGAAGCGGGCACCGTCGCCTGCGCCTGCCCGGGGTCCTGTCCCCAGCAGGAGGGCAAGGTGGAAGAACCTGCCCCGTAATGTTCTTCTCTGCCAGCTCTGCTCCTCATAAATGCCACCGACAACAGCAGGACCCCTCTCACGCGCACACGCATAGCGTCTCTCATTCTGTCCCCCAGCCTCAGGCGAAGCTGACCTGCAGACCCCGGGTAGCAGCCCAGGCCGTCGGTCAGGGTTGCAGAGCTAGGGAAGAGTTCTCCCTCAACAGCCTGTAGCACCGGGGTCCCACCTCGGCTGCCCCCCGCCCTCCGGTCTCCGGGCGGGCGCCGTCTGCCAGACTGCGCGAGGACGGCCTCGCAAAGAGCTAGATTCCTGTTCCTTCTGGTCGTCTCTCCTCAGATCCCGCTAATGCCGAGAGGGGGGCGCCACAGATTACTGTCCGCGGCACTGCGACCGCTGACAGATTTATGAAGACTTTACAGCATCTGGCCTGGGCCCGCAGCGGCAGGGCAGGAGTCCAGTCCAAGAGGTGCGCTGTGGGCTGAAGTTCCCCCGGCGGCGTGCGCGGGCCGAGCTCCTACAGTCCCGGGCCCTGGTTCCCCTCTGGTCGGTGGACACATCTGTCCCCGCCAGTGTCGAGAGTAGGGATTCTCTCCACCCGGTGTAGCCCTCTCCTTCCCACCCTCCCCCGCTAGCTTCCAGTCTCCCACTGAGTAAATATTTACCCAGAGAACGGGTAGCCCCCTTGGAGGAGGCCTCGACAGCACCCTGGGAAGGGCTTTTGGCTTCTTCCTGGCCTGTGTCAGCTGCAGGCCTTACTGGTTGTGTTTTGGTTTTAGTCTTTTAGAAGAAATTCTTTTAGTAGATTTTTTTTCCCGATCTCTTTCTAATCTCCCGGGTCCACAGCGGGCAGTAACCAGGGAGCGCTGACCCCAGCTGCCCCTTGGCTCTTTCTCGAAGTCCTGCCTCCCTACGCCCACTGTCGAGGCTTACCGGCCCTTTAGGTTTCTCTCTCCCTCTCGCCTGCCCGCCTCTAGCCCTCGAGTCCTCTTTCCCTTTTTCAAGTCACTTATCTCTCGCTCAGGCTCTTTGATTTGCCAGCTACCTGACCAGAGCACTCAGGGTGCGGCCCCGGGAGGGTTCAGCATTCAGCATCAGCATCTTCCTCTAGGATCCCTCGCCTCCATCCTGTCCCCTGAAGTTTCCACCCTTTTGCCGCCCAACCTCGGGCCTCACTTTGCCACGGGTACTTAGCTACTTAGCGTCCCCAAACACCGACGATTCTTCGCGGGGTGTTGGGAATGCGCCGAGCTGAGAGCACCGAACACCCGCACCCGCTGGTGTGGTGACCGCCTGCCCGGCTCCAAGGAGCGGGGAGAAGGGGTGCGCCACAAAGATAACGCGCGGCCGCAGCCAAGTCCAACAGGTGGAAATGAAGAGATAGTAGCAGACCTGTTCGAGAGCACGGGACATGTGAGGCAGCTGAAGGAGTTTAGGGGCAAACGGGAGGGATTTGTGTTTAGGTCCACCTAGCCGGAGCTCTAAACAATGAGTCTTTGGATCACTCCGGGTTGGTGCTGTAGAACCACTAAAACCCTCATAGAACGCACAGATCCACATTCGGGCATCGGGTCTTGTCAGCCAGAAGGTGGAACAGCCCATTACCGACACTGCCGCCCAGCAAAGTCCGCGAGGCGCTAACAGGGCGCTCGAGCAGAGTTGAGTCCGTGTCTGTGGGGGGAGGGGTCAGGGAGCTAGCTTCTTGATCTAGAAGCCCGGCATGTTCCATCTTTCACACAAATCTCCGTCGTAGGCTCTTCTCTGATATCTCAGTCTCAATTAACTTGCACCCAATCCCCAGGAAGGAATTGCTGCATTAAAAATCTTGGATTCTCCAAAGACCTCCGCATGGTAAAATACCAGGCGATGCCAAACAAGTATTTGGGGTCAGACCAGGGTAAAATCGCTATCAAGTCAAACTGGAGATTTTAAACAATTGAAACAAAGAGACAAGTTTAAGTATTTCTAGTTGTGAGACTTTTCCCAAGAACCCGACTATAGGGGCACCTGGGTGGCTCAGTGGGTTAAGCCTCTGACTTTGGCTGGGGTCATGATTTCAGGGTCCTAGGAAAGAGCCCTGCGTCGGGATCTCTGCTCAGCAGGGAGCCTGTTTCCCCCTCTCTCTGCCTGCCTCTCTGCCTACTTACGATCTCTGTCAAATACATAAATAAAATCTTGAAAAAAAAGAACCCGATAATAAAAAATTAAAGGTCTTTGAACGCATCCGTATCTTTTCATTCTTCTTACCTATAAATTTGAAATCAGACTGCGGCCCCAACCACAGGAGCATGAGGATCTGGGGGTGGCTCTCCGTTTCAAAAAACACGGATGATCATTCGTTTTTCTGGCTTCTTGTCACTTAGTGGCCCGGAATCCGGGCCCGGTCAGCTTTCCTGTATGTAGTAGACTGGAACTACACAAATCCCTCAGGATTGTGGGAAGATCAACAGGAATCCTGTGTGCACAAGTAGTAGTGTTATGACTGTCAAGTAGCAATATCAACATCCTCGACCCGAAGAAGTCCAAACACCCAAATTCATTAAAGATGCTCCCCATCTTGTTTTTAATTTTGATTAGCATTCTCCATAACCCATACTCAAAATGTAATTAACTTTGGCCGCCGAAAAGAGTACTATACACTTAGATTAGACTTAGAGTGATCGAAAGTGAAAATTCAGAAGTAGGCTGACTCTCAAGGCCCCTAGTAGCTAAACAGAGACAGGGGAATTACGTATATGTGCAGGCTCGGTGTTCAACTTTCTTGGGGCCAAGTCTCTTCGATTAAACAAAACTCTTGCGGGGGCGGGGGGTGGGCAAACCTTGGCATCAAGTACCGGTAGACCAGCAACCAGGCTGAGCGCAGTGGCGCGCTGGCCTCCAAGGAAAGTGCCTCACGCACAGACAATCGTCGACGCTGGCTGTGAGCTAGCTTTAGCCGCGTGTGCTTAAGTCCTCCGCATACCGCGCGCGGCCGCAGCCTGGAGTCTGCGTAGCTAAGGTTTGGCCCCGCGCTCCTGGATGAACCCACCAGAAACTGCATTGGGGCACTAGTTCTGGAGGCAGGAGAGGGGTCTCCACCTGGGTCACAGTGGCCTCCATCTCTGGCTTGGTCTCCCCTCAACCTCCTGGTCTCTCCGATCGGCCTATCGTATCACACCTGCGCTCTCGCCACCTGGCATAGGCTGGAGTTGAAAAGGTATCATCCCGGTTAAAGTGTCCTTCTCCAGACAGCCCCCTGGAGACCTGCAAGACCGGCTATTCTAAGAAACACCCCGCCACCCACCTGACGGTGGCCCCCACCTCCCACCTAGAGTTTTAATTTAAATTCTGAATCGTCTGTTTCTCCCTCCCCCCAAGTCTCAACTTCTTCCCCCTTAGAATTTCTCATATTCAGACCAAATGCTTTCATTTGCTTATTCAGCAAATTTATCAGCTTGATTTTGTTATCTGTTTGAGTTGTCCCTAGGAAGGTGTCAAACACCCATTTTCATTGTATTTAGTCACCCAGGTGCACTGCAAGCTAGCAGAGGACAGCGGAAGAACTTTCCCGGACTGCGCTGTCGCTCAGCGGCTCGCACCAATCACCACGCAGATTGACCTCGGCCCTCCTCTTCGAGGGCGTGTCCCCAGTGAGTGAGAGACGGGGCCGCCCGGCCCGGCTCAGGCCAGCCCACGTTGCTGCTTAGATTGAAATGCAGAACTCTAGTCTCTTTCATCAGGGCACAGACTTCCTTTTACTCCTTCCTTCTGCGCTCTCACCGCCTCCTCCCGGGAAGAAGCGGAGGCACCGGCTGCCTGGGGCAGCGACAAGCCGGGCCACTGAGGCTGTGCGAAAAGTTTCTTTTTGGGAGTTCGGAATTGGGGCCCGGTTGGTGTACTGCTCGGAGCAATGGGTGAGTGGCGGCGGGGGACGCTGTCAGAGCGGGGAAGGGAGGGAGGGAACGGGAGGGCGAGGGAGGGAGGGAGGGAGCGCGAGGGCGCGCACCACTGAGCTCTCACACTCTTCTTATTGACTTTGCTCCTGTTCCTACAAGTGTTAGAAACACGCTAAGGGTCAGGGCACTCAGCAGTTCAGTATGAACGCTGGCTACTGGGTTGCTGTTGATGCCATTTTCTGATATTAAAAGAAGGGAGCGGTGGCATCGGCAAGCTCAGTAGCCCCAGTGCGGACCAAGTTTTGTTTCACACAAACTCACACACTCAGAACAGGGGGGAAAAATCCAAACGAACTGTAGTTTCTCCTAGACCAATTGCGCCGGTCCCCAGGCGGGGCGCTGGGGCTCCGGGGTGGCAGCCCAGAGACTTTAGAGCCGAGCAGACGAGAAGGAGCTGGTTGCAGGAGTCAAGACCGATTTCCCCGCCTGCTTCGGAGGCTTTTGAACACTTGGAGCGGCCCTGCGTCTCACCACTTTATTTGCTTGTAGTGGCCGCAGGCACCATTGGGAATGGCGTGGGGGGTGCGACTAGACCTTAGTGGTTTGCGGCCATTGGGCAAGGCTCGGGGACAGTAGGGTTTGGGGAAAGCCCAGGTCCCCAGTCCCGGGTGGGTGCATCTGCCCGGCCTTCTGATGTGGGCGGAGGCCGAGTGGAAAACGGCTGTCCCAAACTGCTGGTGCGCGTCCCCGCGCGCCGTGTGTTCGTTTTGCAGAGCCAGCCTTTGGGGAGGTGAACCAGCTGGGAGGAGTGTTCGTGAACGGGAGGCCGCTGCCCAACGCCATCCGGCTTCGTATCGTGGAACTGGCCCAACTGGGCATCAGACCTTGTGACATCAGCCGCCAGCTACGGGTCTCGCACGGCTGCGTCAGCAAGATTCTGGCGCGCTACAACGAGACTGGCTCGATCTTGCCAGGAGCCATTGGGGGCAGCAAGCCCCGAGTTACCACCCCCACCGTGGTGAAGCACATCCGGACCTACAAGCAAAGGGACCCTGGCATCTTTGCCTGGGAAATCCGGGACCGCCTGCTGGCGGACGGCGTGTGTGACAAGTACAACGTGCCCTCGGTGAGCTCCATCAGCCGCATCCTGCGCAACAAGATCGGCAACTTGGCTCAACAGGGCCATTACGACTCATACAAGCAGCACCAGCCCGCGCCACAGCCGGCGCTGCCCTATAACCACATCTACTCGTACCCCAGCCCCATCACGGCGGCCGCAGCTAAGGTGCCCACGCCGCCCGGGGTGCCTGCCATCCCCGGCTCCGTGGCCATGCCCCGTACCTGGCCCTCCTCCCATTCCGTCACCGACATCCTGGGCATTCGCTCTATCACCGACCAAGGTAAGGGCTCAGGGGCCGGGTGGTGTGGGTGTGCAGACCCTCCCTCTGCACCCTCTCGGGTGTCTCTGTATCTGCGGCCTCCGGGCCCGCGTCTGTCCCACCACCTGAGGCTTTTTCATTTCGAAACTAAGGAGTCCTCCCAGGGGGTGTCCTGATCTCATTAACTTGAAATTCATGCCCTCTGCTTCCTTGCCACACACAGTCTCCTGCCTCATCTCAAACTACCAGACCCATAACACCCCCCCATCCCCAACACATGGTTCGCATTTTCCACCCTCCCCCGCCTCTCGCGCCGCTGCAGCCTCAAACCCGCTCGTTCACTCGGAGAGCGCGGCCCAGGTCGGACTTGGGGCGCAGCCCGGGAGGCCTGAGCGGGCGTGGGGCTGCTGGCTGCAGACACCGCTGCGGGCAGCTTGTTTGGGGATCGGATGCGGCCTCGAGGAGTCGGGCACCCTGTGGAAATTGCAGTATTCTTGGATTCTGGCAATCAGGCCAAATTTGCTCAGGCAGGAAGTTCAAATGTCACCTAATTGGTTTCATTCTTATGCTTCACTTCATTTTCCTCGGAAACGGAGGTCCCGAAGTTACTACCAGTAACTTGCATGTTACTGCATTGCTCATTCTGGGACTAATTTTCTGCTTTATTTCTCTCTCTCTCCCTCTCTCTTTTCCTACTGCCCCCACCTCCAGCCTTTACCTTAGTAGAGTTCACTATATGTGTCTTAAGAACTGGCACCAACCACCCCTATGATGGGAACAAAATGTGGGGTGATTTCATCATGTCCTCTCTTCTGTCCCAGTTTACCCAAGGAATGCCAGTGGATACCTAGTACCTGCACATTTTCAGCAGTGCCACCCCACTGCTCCTTTCCTTTCTCACCCTTGACCTTGCCCTCTAGCGAGTGTCTTTTCTGCTTGGCAAGAAGGATTCTCCAGCCTTACTGCACAGTTGGGCTTCCACAGACCAGACTTTGTTTCCCTTTACTTCATAATGGGACAAAACAACAACAACAGCAAGGAAACTGGCATTAAATTCTTTCTGGGTAGGAGGAAAAAGTCAACATGTCCTAGGCACAGAATTTAAATAATGCAGAGATAAGAGCCTACCGTTTTAATTTCTTGGCCGAAAGTTTAAAAAGTGCAGGGGAAAAATTAAGTAGGAAAGGCGGGGAATAGTTCCTTTAATTATTTCCTGCCTTTCTCTGTTGCCACCACATTGGCACAATTATCTTTTTAAGTAATTAAAACAGAGCCCTGATTTCTTGTCTTCTTGTTTGCTGACTGTGAATTTACAAGATTTTTCTAGGAGCTCAGTTTTATCTTATTCGGAGCTGGTTGGAGCTTTAGTTGGAGAGAGTTTGCCCTTGATTTATAGGATAAACTGACCTCACTGACATTTAAAGGAAGCCCCTGTTCATGGGAAAGTGTGAGATCAGCAGAAATGGGGGCTCACAGGGGGATCTCAATTTCTTAAGATAACTTCAGTCTTGTGCCCACCGATTGCCTTTTGTCTGGGAAGGCAAAGAGAGACTGGCAGTTCTTTGCCAAAACACGGTTTCCTGATGCAAACTGGAACACAATCTAATTCTTTGGAGAGGGGGAGGAATAGTGAAAGAAGACTGACAGAGTTGCTCTTCCCTGGGGATCCTACAATCAGACCAAGTATCAGTTGGAAAAGTAATGGATTATATGGAGAGGAGCAACTTTTCATTCTAGATGTTGTTGATTCTGGATGCCAGCTTTAAACAACCTGTTTTCTGACAAATCTGTGACTATAAAATGATTATTTCTGTAAGTGATCATTTCTACAAAATGATTGCCCCTTCAAAGCACTGTGCCAGATGGAAGTATTTAAAATCAAGTTGTAGTGGCTTTGTCAAAATTTCAGTCCTCCACCTATAGGTTCCAAAGACAAAAACACATCGCTCATAGTCTTCAAATATCTTTTCTTTAAAACTTCACTTAGTCATTTAAAGATGGCAGTGATTCAGTAGGCACACTTGTAGGTATTGTGGTAATCAGTTTACAGCATATAATTTTCTTTGTATCTGTATTAAGAACATAAAGGATAACTGACAGCTTTACTCTTTAAAAAAAAAAAAAAACAATTCTACCTTCATTTCCTTAACTTATTTCATTAAAAAAACCCAAACAAACAAAAACCCCCCCACAAAACCCTCTCTCTGTAACCTTACCACTGATGCTGGTACTATTTACAGTGGTAATTGTATTATTTATTTTTTAAGTTATATGCACATAACCTCACATATTTAATGTGTAGACATAGAACATCAAGGATAGTCACGAATTATGCACACACATGGCAAACTATGCATGTATATTTTGCATGTGTATTGTGGGCAACTTGCAGTTATTTGTTTGCAAAGGACTTTGCAGATCTTTTGTCTCATCTATTGACATAAGTACTAGATCCCCACAGCACGGCGAGCACTTTTCTGGTTGTCTCTGTGCACCCGCACAGGCCAAGGACGATTAGGCCAAGGACGCTCCTCTCTCCCTTTTCAGTCCGCACCAGTCCCCGTTTTCGTCAATCCCGAGTCGACCCTGGGTTAGGCCTGGGATGATCAGCGAGCGCATCCAGCTTCACGTCTCTCATTCCTCGATTTAGGAAAACGCTCAGGTTCTTTCCATTTGATTCCCCGGGGGAATGAGGGGAGGAGGAAATCGAAGGCAGTTGAAAAAAGGGGGAAAAAAAAATCTTCCCGCAGGCGTGGGTTTAAGAGCTGGGAGAGGCCTACTCTGAGGAGCTTGAGCTCCGCCGGGCCCCGGGCTGGAAGCCGGCGAGGCCGCGCCTGGGCCCAGCGCCCCCGGGTAGGTCTAGGGCAGGGGTCGGAGCCCCGGCGCTCGAGGCTTCAGGCCGCGTCTCAGGAGGGGGCGCGCGGGTTGGCGCTCCAGCTTGACGCCTTCTCCTCCTCCCCAGGCGTGAGCGACAGCTCCCCCTACCACAGCCCCAAGGTGGAGGAGTGGAGCAGCCTGGGCCGGAACAACTTCCCCGCCGCCGCCCCGCACGCGGTGAACGGGCTGGAGAAGGGAGCCCTGGAGCAGGAAGCCAAGTACGGTCAGGTGAGGAGGCGAGGGCCCAGCCGGGTGGGCCGCGAGGCGGCGGGGGTTTGCGCGACGGGGGACCCAGGTCGAGGTCGGGAGCCTCGACCGAGGGGAAGCCCAGGCCGACCGTCCGTCCCTGCCGGGGGTCCTAGCGCGGGTGGGTGAGGCGGGCCCGGGGCCGCGGATCGTCCAGGGCGGAGTGGAGGCCTCGAGTCCCCGCCAGGAGCCCCGGGAGCCTGGGGCGGTGGAAGCGGTTCCAGGCCCGTGTGGCCTCTGCAGGCCCGGGGGGGGCGCGCCCGGAGCCCCCGGCGCTGCTGGCACAGGGGCTGGGGACCCCTGCGAGGCGCGTCCGCGGGGCCCGGCGACGCGGCGGGGTTGTCAGGGCGGCGCCCGCCAAGCGCACGCCCGAGGTCGCGGCCTGCGGGGCTGCGGGCTGCGGGGTCCTCACGCTCGGACAGTTCTCCGGCGGTCGCTCCCCGAAAACAAACGTGGCTCAACCTGCGAGAGTGAGGAGAGGGCAACCAGATAAACGTAATAAAGTTACCATTTCCCGATTAAAGGTCACGGTGTAATCTCCCAAGGGAGGTTTGTGAGAAAACCTCAAATTATACGGACTGGCTGTGGACCGTTTAATTTTTCTTTCCCTCTGTCCCTCCCCCGACTCTGCAAAAGAAAAATTAAAACACTCGTGTTTTTTTTTTTCCCTTCCCCCGAGAAAAACTTAGAAACCACCACCACAAAAGCTCTAGAGTTTTTAGTCTAAATTCATCACCAGGATGGAGTCCGAGGCGCAAAGCTCTGAAAAACAAACAAACGCGGACCTTAAGGCAGCCTAAGGTATCTTAGAGCAGATTTGGGTAGATCTGCAAATTGCCTAATACCAAATTCCAATGCCAAAGCCTCAAAATACCCAGTTTTCGTTTTATTATTTTGAAGTCATAAAACTCTTAGTGTTTTCTTATCTGTCAAAAATCAGCATTTTACTTGTTACTTTTATTCACTTGGGAAAAAATCCTAATCCTTGTTTTCTCGAAAAAAATCCCATCTCCACTTCCTTTTCTCTCCCTTATTTTGCTAAAACAGTGTCAGATACGTTTAGTAGCTGTCCCATGACAAACATCCCAGAAAATAGCAGCGAAGAGAGTCCCTTTCCTGAGTCTGTTTCTACCATAAAGAATGCCAAGAAGAAATGATATGAAAGCTTGCCATTTTCTTTTATAAAAAGCCCCTCATTCATAAAGAAGAGGCAGTACATATAATGGTTGGGAACTCCGAGCTTCTGGCGTCAGTTGTCACTAAAGCAAGTTATTTAACCTTTTAACACCTGTATTTCTTCACCTGTAAAACGGGGAAATAATAGCCCCAACCTCAGGAGATGTTGTGAAGATTCAATGAGATAATGCAGCCATATGGCGCACAGTAAGCATCCCTTTAATAGTACCTGTGGTTTTAAGTGGCAGTTATAAGTGGCGGTTAGAGACTGACTCTTAAAAACAAGCAATTTTTTTTCTTTTGGTACAAATATACTTTGTTCAAAGATATAGTAAAAAAGTGTCAAGGCATTTTGTTCCAAACATTAGGAGTGTTTTTAAAGCATCTAGCATAGTAGCAAGCATTTAATAGGAGCTCAGTAGTTTTTATTGGGTCATCATTTGTTATAATAACATCAGGAAGTAAAGAGTTGAAAAATTTTAATTCTCACAAATAGTTGATAAACCCAGCTTATATATAAAGCAATGTCATAATTCAAAAATCTTTGGTTATTTCATTTTTTTCTCCCTTGAATTATAGATCTAGTGTTCATACTCATTTAGAAATGTATACACACATATCAAAACAACACTGACCAATTTAAAATAAAAATAGAGCACTGATTCAAATAATCTTCTCTGTATATTCTGAATATTAAAATTCATTACATTTGAACACTGAATATTATATCACTAAATTATGAGATTTATAAAAGCAAGTAAATGAAAGACATAAATGGCCAAATAAGTATTGTTCTAAATACATAAGAGGACAAGTTAATTTTTTTTCCAGAAGAAAAAGATATTTAGATCTTAAATTTGGAAACTTCTTTTTTTTTTTTTTTAAGACTTTATTTATTTATTTGAGAGTGAAAAGGAGAGACTGTACTAACAGAGGGAGGGGCAGAGCTAGAAGCAGACTCCCTGCTGAGCAGGGAGCCTGCCTGGGGACTCATTCCCAGGACCCTGAGATCATGACCTGAGCTGAAGGCAGACCGACTGAGCCACCCAGGTGTCTCAAATTTGGAAAATTCTTAATTGCAGTATGGTAATCTTCTGCACTGCCATGTAGTAATATAATTCAGATGATGTAAAATTTCAAAACTTGAAAAGTTTCTAAGCACAATTAAATCAGTGGTTACTCTGTTATAATTATCAATACAGTGCTTAATGATGAGGGTGTGCTAAGTAGGCACAGAAATTTAGGCTGTGTCATTTTGTGAGCAGTTTTGGAATTTAGACATTGATTTCCTTGAGGGTAAAATTCTATACTAATACTTGCTCATAAACAAAAAAGCAATAGTAAGGTGTCTTGTGTGTGTGTGTGTGTGTGTATATGTAAATATGTGTGCATTTCTCTTACCAATATTCAAATGGCAGCTTTAGTTTTAAAATTTATTTTTCAAAATGTTATTAGAATAAGTACACTTTTACAACAAAAATGTAAACTTAAGTAACATTTCTCCTCTATTTGTATTATCAAAAAAAATTGAAAGGTTTTGACAAAAAATTCTCAAATTAATGCACATAATACTTTCAGGGCACTTATAATTTTTATTAAATAGAGCAACATTATATGACCCCAGTTTCATTTTAGTATATAGAGGAAGAAATTGAGAATTCAGAATCATAGGAATTAAAGCATAATCTTTTTCCCGAAGACACCTGTAAAATTACCAAAGGGACTGAACTGACAACTGATTGTAGGTACTAGTGATTACTGTAAACTAGAGTTTCTATTTTCAGTTTAAACTGGAAAAAAAAAAAGAGATGCCTGATCGCTAGTAATTAGAACCTTATGCACATTTCTGCTATATACACACCTATCTTTTCTTTTTTAAAATACTACTATAGAATATTCAAATTTGTCTTATTGATATTATATTGAAGTCAATATTTTTTATTACTATTCAGAAGTCCTTATTATCTATCCTTGAGGATAGAAGAGGAAGAATATTTATTTGTTTTGACTTTTTTCACCTGCATTTAATACTGGGCTAGAAATCCTTAGTCCCCTCTAATTCTGAATGGCAACCGTGTTCTCTGGTTCCTAATGATGGTTCTCTTCTGTTGAAAACATAAAATCTCTACTGAATGCAATTGTATGGCAAAGAAAAGGGTGGGGGGAGTTTGAATATATCTGCCCTTTTACATGGCACTTAGTGAATTAACACTTCATTTTATTTAAAGAGTTTATAATTTTTTTTTAAAGGATTTTATTTATTTGACAGAGATCACAAGTAGGTAGAGAGGCAGGCAGAGAGAGAGGAGGAAGCAGGCTCCCTGCCAAGCAGAGAGCCCGATGCGGGGCTCCATTCCAGGACCCTGAGATCATGACCCGAGCCTAAGGCAGAGGCTTAACCCACTGAGCCACCCAGGTGCCCCTAAAGAGTTTATAAATAGTTGTATAGTTCTTGAAACATTTTCTACAATTGGGCATACTTTCTCATAAAAAAATATATTGCATATCTGGTACTCTGAAATAATCTGAATGTTAGATTAACAAGCTTTGAGTATGTCTAATTTTGGGTAGTGTATGTTAACCCAGCAAGTTTAATATAACATTAGCTACAAATTGAGATGTCAGAGATGGGAATAGTCTATACAAACATGAACTTAAGAAGTTTAGAGTTTTAAGAGTTAAATGAATTGTGAAAATCGTTGGATTTCAAGGCAAATTAATCGGAAAATTTTTTTTTTTTAAAGATTTTATTTATTTGACAGACAGAGATCACAAGTAGGCAGAGAGGCAGGCAGAGAGAGGGGGAAGCAGGCTCACTGCTGAGCAGAGAGCCCGATGCGGGGCTCGATCCCAGGACCCTGGGATCATGACCTGAGCCGAAGGCAGAGGCTTTAACCCACTGAGCCACCCAGGCGCCCCTAATCTGAAATTCTTATGGATCATTTATTTGTATATTGTATTTGAAATATAGTATTTCAGAATCATGAATATAATTTTCTAGTGCATTGTTTTAAACACTGGTTGTCTTTGCAGACATAATGTATTCATGAAAATATAAAGTTGCACTGGATTTTTCATCTTATGAAATAGTTAAATTTGTTTTAAATAATTGATAATTTTGTAGAGAATCCAACTGTAGGCAAATACCAATAGAGAGACTTTGAAATTCATGATGTTATCTATTATGAAAAACATTCCTTGACCTGGGTTGCTTTTAACTATTAGTGCCTTAAAACAAGATTAATGATTATGTAGTAGTAAAATGTGTCATATAAAATACAAAAAAAAAGTAATTTGAAATTTTTTCAAGGCTACCTTAATTTTCATATTTTGGAAACAAAATTTAGGAAAAAAAATTTAAATAGTAGCTTTGCATTACCTAACGACTTTTAGATCTGCAGTGTGATAACTCAGCATAATTAAGATCTTTTTGGATGAATGTTGAAACCATATTTACAGCCATCATTTCACTTTATCGGACTTGTTTTACTAGATCATTGCATAGTGAATTAAGAAAGGTGGGTAGAACAACAGTAAAAAAAGATTACACCCGAAAGAGAAAATCTTGTTTATTCTCAGATCTGAAACTTTTTTTTGCTAATGATATGGAGGCTAAATTCTAGGTGAAGCACATCTCCATTTGTGGCTAAATCTACTTTCCATAAAGCCAAAGTAAACCCATTTTATCATAAGGGGAGGACCAGGTAGAACTGATGAGTAGATGGAAGATTGTGGGTACAGGACCTGACACTATTATCTGCATTTTCTTCAAGAGAGAAAATGTTGAGTAGACAATATCCTGAATG